TTCCCGCGCTCGTCGTCGAAATCGGGTCGTACGGATTCGCGATCCGAGGTGGATTTGAAAATTCTCTCAAACGACGATGAGTCCTGGAGTGAAATCCGGCACGGCGATCTGTCCGGTACCGTCATCTTGCAAACGAGAGTTTCGCGCAAGAAGCGGCATACGAGAGGTGTTCGGGCGAGGGAGTCATCGCTCGTGTCAAAATCATTGGCAGTATCTCATTTTTAGATGGCGTTTGGCATTCTGCAAATTTTCTGAAGCTACAAAATGTTGTGCGATGAAATTTGGCAGAAACGTAGTTTAAAAACTGAAGTCGGGCTACGAGGAGTTTCGTTCGAAAACGCTCAACGACGAGAAGACGAAAAGTGCTAATGGGAGAATGAAAGGCCGTGCGGGCGGAGAAGGCTAAAATGAACGCTCGCAAGTTACACGAGTCGCTTCCTCCCCCGCCTCCTCCCCCTCCCCCCTATTTCGCGGGATACGATCCTCCATTCCCTCGGGAAGACCGAAAGCTGGAAGATTTTCACTACGAGACTTATTTTCTCCTGCTTCGGCCGAGTCGGCAGTCCTCGAAGCGGTTCCGACACAAGGTGCTCGTGTCTCCCGGGAGTAAATTTCGACGACGCTCCTTCGCGGGTGCGTTTCTACTCGCATCGTGCGGAAAGGTCGCGATTTCTTCCGAAGTTCGTCGAGGACCGGATCGCGGAGAACTCACAAGACGAATGCGACGCCCTTGCCCACGCGATCGCGTCGAAGGAGTTTGACCAGCAGCCCCCCGAACGCGGCGTGAGGGGCCGCGAGACCCCCGACGTCCTCCTCGGACGCCCCCCGCGGCAGGTTCGCGATCCTCACGCCGCGTTCGTCCAGCGGCGGCTCCTCGAGGAACCGGGCGTGGAAGGCCATCGATCCCAGAGCCTCCACCGCCCTCTTCGCCACCTCCCGCTCCCGGAACGCGACGGTGCCGTGACCGATGCAGACGCCGGACGCGTCTCGCGGGATCCACACGCTCCGGACTTCCCCGAAGTATCTCTCGAAGTAGGCGAGGACGGACGAGTCCGTCGCGGACGGGAGAACGCCCCGGAGGTAGATCACGCCTCCTCCCGTTCCTTCGCGTCGGTCCTCCGCGTTCACCCGGATCGCGAAACGGGCGTGGAGCGAGCGGGACATGTAGATCCATTCTCCGAACTTCCCCATTCTCTTCTCGGAAAGATCAGGTTCCCGCATTGTCGATCTTCCGAAGGAAAAAAAACGATTCTCGAGAAGGAAGGAAAATTTATTCCCGCGAGATGAAAGCAACACGGAAAAAAAATGCAAGAGAAGGGAAATCGGAAGACGGTAGGTAAGCCGGAAGAATGAAGGGAAGCCGGAAGACGGAAGACGGAAGGGACTCGGATTCCAGCTTTTCACGCCGCGGCGCAGTACTGCCACAGGCAATTCACCATCTTCTCCCAGTCCTCTCCCTTTTCGCGAAAACGAATCCAAGGAAAACAGAAGATGAAAACGCAGAAGTTCGTGTAGTAGCCTTGAACGCGAGAATCCAATGGTGTGCATTTCGAGCGAGTTAAAAAAGAAGACACTTTATCCGTCGAAACGCGGCACGGAAGACCGACCTTGGTGTATTGGGAGCATTCCCCGTTCAGTTTCTCCAGGAGTCCCCGCTTGATGTCGGGATAGGCGCCGAACTTCTTGTCGATCTCCTCCGTGAAGAATTCCCGCCGTATCTGTCTGCCGTCGTCCGTCACCTGCCCCGCAAAAGGAAACGTTTTCGGCCAGGTGCCGTGCGCGACTCCGATCGCGCAAGGATTCGCACGGCGAAGGCGCGAATTCGGCGGCTCGCACGGCCTTCAGAGTCTCCGGTGCGGAACGCTCCGAAAACGTACCAATTTGAGCTTCCGGACGATGCAGGATCCGTAGTCCTGGAGGACCTGGGCCTCCTCGTCGTCGTTCAGCTGTTTCTGGATCTTCCGGATTTCCTGGCGCTGTTGGCGGTAGAGGAATCGAAGACGACGCTGGCACGACTGGAGGTCGACGGGGGCATTCGGGTCGGCATCGTGCTCCCGCTGCTGGTGCTGCTGGTGCTGCTGGTGCTCCCGGTCCTCTGCGGTTCCGTTCGAAACCTCACTTTTCTCTCTTCGAGATGTGCATTCCGACTCGAACGGGAGAGGGCGACTCACCGGGGGGGTCGGGGACTTGGAACTTCCCGTCGGCGCATTCTCGGGCGTGGTTCTTCGCCTCCTGCTTCTCCGCGTCGGTCGGCTTCATGGCGTGCATGCACTTACACATCCTCTCCGTCTGAGAACGAGCACGCGTCTCGTCGGTCTCGTTGCGGACCGCGGACCGCGAGCCAAGGACCGAGGGCCGTGGATCGCAGGGGGCGGGCTCTCGCGCATTTTAAACCGCGTTTCTATTCCTTACGTCGCGTCGGAGAGGATCGTCTTCTCCCCGTCGTCTCTCGGAAGACCGTCGAAGAGAGGAGACGGTCGTCACCCGTGCGACGAGAAGTCGGAAAGTCTCGTTCCGCGGCACGCGAGAGTGGAGAATTCGAAAGCGAGACGAGTTTCATTCCCCGCGTTTCGACGAGCAAACTCGGATTCCCTTCGGTTGGATTCCTCTTAGAATGATGATAAAAAATAGCTTGGAATCCCGAGCCGTTCGAAACCCACCGCAAAACGCCGCAGACTCGGACAGAGCAAGGGAGACGGAGTCCGGACTCACC